GCTCACTCCTTATCACACGGGTTTCTCACCAGAGCAGCACTTCCTCACTATCCGTGCTCGAGTCGCCGGTCTCCGAGTCTTGGAGCATCATTCGGTGAGTTGACCGGCATGCCTACTCCGCCTCACATGCATGCTTTGCCGGTCCGCTTCACAAGCAGCTCCAATATCATGACTACTCAGAGGCTCCCTCGTCTGTCGCCTCGTCGATCCTACGACAGACATACTTGCAGCTTCCACAGGCAAAGACCAAATTTCACTGCACCCAGACTGCTTTTCAAATGACACTTCCCGCCTGTGAGGGTCACTCGATTCGAGCTCGAGGTTAGATGATGATGGCGCCTGGCCCATCTTGCTCCACGTGCTTGGCCGCCGACTCGTCTCATTGCAGCCCTTGCCGTCAAATTTCTAGGTTTTGGTGTTTGACGCCAAAGGGGGAGAGGGGTTTGAGTATGTAGACTTAGGGGAGCGAGTTTTAGGGGAGCTAGTTATCTAGTATTAGCTTATTATATACATTTGGAGTTTTATTTGTGTGATACACTATTACTTATGCATTCGTGTGTTTACTTTCATGCATACTATTATATATATGTGATAGTGCTATCTACGTGATTGTGATATTTGACATGTGTGACTTCTACTTTGCTTTATATATATGTCATATCACTTGTGTGATGCTCATTTGATTTTGCTTCCGCGTTTATACTTTGAAGCAAATGAGCTTTGTTATTTGTACTCATGGTTAATCCATATTCTTTGAGTACATTGTGTTGGCTTGGGTCATATAAGCTTGACTAACTCTTTTGTTCTTATTGACAAAACCTTATATGAACCAAGCCCGTCAAAAAAACCTCACTCCATAACATACTCGAGGTGGTGTTGTCATCAATCACCAAAAAGGAGGAGATTGAAAGCATCTAGGCCCCTAGTTGGATTTCGGTGATTGATGTCAATACAAGATTACCATGACTAACGTGTGTTTTGCAGAGGCAATTAAGTTAGGTCATGGTAATGGAGATCGATTGGGCAATTGAGGTTGTCATGCCCCTACGATGGAAATCGTTTCTGTTTTCAAAGGATGGACGACAAGGTTAAGGATAACTAGTTCTAAGTGTCAATTGAAGTTGGAGAGACACTTAGAATAGTTTAGGACTTTGTTTTTCCTTTGGCCGCATTTACTGAAGGGGGGGGGTATGAACGGGTAGCTTGACCTAGTTAAGTCTAGTGAGTTAGGTGTGGTGCACACTTGTTTAAACTAGCTCTAGGTAGCTCCTATGAATGCCTAAGATCTTTTGGAGCAAAATTCATTCACATATATTCGGAAGTTGAAGTGAATGGAGGGTCAAACACCGACCGGACGCTGGCTCGGTGGCGACGGGACGCCGGCCGCAGTCGCAGGTCCCGGCCGAGTTCATTTGATCGAGGTGAACAAGTCTCGATGTGACCGGACGCTGGAAGGTCATGTGACCGGACGCCGAGGACCAGCCAGGTATCCGTCGACTCCAAGAAGGGTCCGTGACTTGGGAAGAGTGACCGGACGCTGTCCGGTCGGTCTTAACCGGACCACGACCGAGGGTTCAAAGTGTCCCACGACTCAAAGAGGTCCGTGCTTGAAAAAGTGACCGGACCACGAGGGTTCAAAGGTCCGGTCGAGTCCAAAGAAGGTTCCAAGAGGGTTTTATGCGACGCCGGGACGCGTCCGTCGGTCAGTGGCAGACGGACCCGCCAGCGTCCGGTCGACTCTTTAATACCGGTTCGCGGGTTGAACTGACCGGAAGGCGTCCGGTCATAACGATCGGAGCATCCGGTCGTCCCCAAGCAGAAGCTCATAACGGTTCGCTTTTTCAGTGGCTTATAAATAGAAGGTCCACTCGTGAGTGGAGCATCTTTTGCTCATTCCAACAAACCGAGAAACACGCTTGTGAGTGCCAAGAAGAGCAAGGTCCTAGTGAGGTGTTTGTGATTTGAGAATCCAAGAGAGTAGCCTCACTAGCAAATCAAGAGTAGCAAAGTGTGCATCCATCTTCTCATTAGGCTTCGCGTGGTCAAGTGAGAGTTCGTGCTTGTTACTCTTGGTGATCACCATCACCTAGACGGCTTGGTGGTGATTGGGAGTTTGGTGTTCACCCGGCGGAGCTTGTGGGTGACCCAACTCAAGTTGTGAGCGGTTTTGGGTGATTCGCCGCGACGGAGTGTCGAAGAATCAACCCGTAGAGAGCACTTGATCCTTGCGCGGATCAAGGGGGAGCTACACCCTTGCGCGGGTGCTCCAACGAGGACTAGTGGGGAGTGGCGACTCTCCGATACCTCGGCAAAACATCGCCGCGTTCCTTTCTCTCTCTATTTACGTTGAGCACTTGCTTTAAGTATTTACTTTGAGCATTTCAATACTTGTCTTACATCCATAGAATTGCTTGCTAGAGTAAGTTTGGAACATTGGTTGCGAGGTTGCTGTGCATTAGTTTGATATAAACACTTTTTAGGCACAAGGGGTTAATTGGGCTATCCGTAGGATTTGATTATTGCAAGAAAATTTAGAATTAGCCCAATTCACCCCTCCTCTTGGGCATCTTGATCCTTTCAGTTTGGACATGTCCAACGGAGACCTCCAGAGGCACCGGTGCGTAGTGGAATCCTAAGCCAGGATAGTAACGTGAAGAGAGGCAGAGGAAGACCGAAGTTGACTTGGGTAGAGGCAATAAAATGAGACTTGAAATGATGGAATATACCCAAAGACTTAACCTTAGATAGGAGTGCTTGGAAAACAGCTATTCACGTGCCTGAACCTTGATTGCTTCTGCTGGGTTTCAACTCTAGCCTACCCCAACTTGTTTGGGACTTAAAGGCTTTGTTGTTGTTGTTGTTGTTGTTGTTATTGTTAAACAGTGCTACATTACCAAGAATTTAACACTATCCTTCCATCCTAGTCCTGATGTGGTATTTTAATTCATAGTTTGCATCACCTGGTTAACAAATTGGGTTATGACAACATAATGAATCATGATTTGTGAGATGGAGTGGTCCTTTGGCATCAACTTTACTAGGTTGGTTTAGCCGTTTAGGTGGCACAATATTTTCTGATTTCCATTTTTGTTTCATACAGCAAGGGACACTGAAATTCTGAGGCTGAAGCAGCTCTTAGACAAGAAGGCTGAAAAAAACAATTCTACAGCTACTGGGTCTCCTGGCCTAACAACTGGAGCTATCCTAGAAAAATCAACTCCAATGTCACCTAAAAGAACGACACCACTGTCCCGCGGCAAGGTAAAGAGGGTACAGTTGATTGAAAATGCTCCTCACAGTAGCCCCACAGAGGCATCTCAAGAAGTCAGCTTAGAAACCTCAGTAGTTCCTTTTCACGTACAAGTATGTGAGTGAGCTTTGTTTACTAATCCTTCTTGTGGCTTGAATTGATCTGATACTGCAGCTAGAATGCTCTAGAAGACATTCATGCATCTCAGGTTAGTGAAAACTTAATTTGATCTGTCACTACTTTGTTGTATGGCTTGGAATTAATTTAGCCTGCGTGAATGTTGATTCAGGGAATGGGACAAATGAAATTCCGAGTGCTCGTATGTTCCATTTGCTGCTTCAATCTTTAGTTCGCATGAAGATCTCAGTAAATCATGGAACAGAAATGTTTTCGGTCTCAAGTCTGTCACGAAGCTAGTAGTACTTGCTCACACTGAATATCGTGTTCTTGTTTTACTACAGCTCAGTATTGGCATAGCTGTTATTATGCTTTAATATTTGTTGTTCTTGCGCTGTTACTATCATAATGCAATTTTGTATGTTACTTTTTTCACGTTTTTTTTTTACGGTTACATGTTAACAAAGTAGCATCTTTCATATTGTTTTCATTTCATTCCTGGATGTATTCACTCTCTAGTCATATAATAATATAAAGGAACTGATTATGATCCTTACAGAGTTATTGCAGGTTACAGTTTCACCCTAAAATGGTTGGAGAAACATGGTGAATGGTCATATAAGCCCTCCTTGTTGGGCACCCTGGATAGGATAGCCGTCGACTGGATGAGGCAAGACATAAGGTTCAGCATGAAAATGTGACAGTTGACAGCATGCTCTTTGCTTCATCTAGCTATCTCAGTCTGCCTAAGGAACTTGAAAATGGAAGCCTCCCTATGTAAAAATGTTTTCCTGATTCGTGGGCTGTAGAATGGCGTGGAATGTACCCCAAAAAAGTGACACTTTGGATGATCGCTAAGGCAGCAGAGTGTAGGGATTTCCGCTAGTCGGTTAGTTTGGCTGTTTTCTCATACAAAATGTCTGCATAGTCAACAAATTGTTCTTATGAAACAAAATACACCCTTCGTTCCAGATTATGTTGTTTTGGCTTTTATAGGTACGTGTACAAAAGTTAAAACGACTTGATTGATAATTTGGAACAGATTGAGTAAAAGTTTGGAGAACAGTATCCCCACATTACTGAAAATATGAATTCGCTTTGGTGGACAGGGTCCATTTGACCCTTGAGTTCTTGATACATCAGAAGAGGAACGGCAACATTAAGTACATGTGGTTTTCATCTGGGTAGCAAACACGCTGAGAATGGAGGTCATCTGAAATTTCGTTGATCGCGCTAAATTCAAGCAGTCTTGTCGAAACAACAAGGGGGCGAAAACAAGTCCTGTAAAAATGACGAGCATCTGAACATTCAGAACTCAGAGGTGGTACAGCTTATCTGGGAAGTGCACAAATAGAGTAAAAGCGGTGGTCAAAATAAGCTGGTCTAATCCAGCTTCTGCTTTTAAGTACAAATGGGAGCTGTAGGAATAAGTATGGTCAGAATTAGTTGCTGAAAAGCGTGGCGTTTAGCTGTTGATTTCAGCTTATTTTTGCCATAAGGCAGCTTATAAGCTATCCCAAACGGGCCAAAGAACGGTCATATACTCCTGCTGCACCACCAGACTGGGAACCCAACCCAACGAAAGCATCCTGTCTTCTCCATCGACCCAAGCGAGATCAGTGCTTGTCCTCCTCTACGCGGCGGGCTTGTAGAGCTTCTGCACCATCTTCCTGAACTCTGAACAACGAAGAACGAGGAAACGACAAAGCGAGATTCAGAACAAGAAACCGATGGATCGATCGCGGGATTCTTCATTCTTGATGAGAAGCGAAGCGAGATGTCGAATCGCGTACCTTCCTGGTTCGCCCAGAGCGCCGCCGCCTGCGTGTTGAGCGGCGAGTCGTTGTTCGGCTCTGCATACATAATCCGTCGGCGGTCAGAAACAAAACAAGGAGAACGCACGCAGCAGGAGGCCGGCAGCGCACGAGATGGATGGGTCGCGTCGATCGAACAAGAGAAGATGGTCGCGATCCGTTACCTCCGAGCAGGCTCTGGATGGAGAGGAGGACGGTGCGCACGTCGTAGGCGGAGGACCACTTGTCCTGGAGGATGTCGAGGCAGATGTTGCCGTGCGCCCGTGCGCGTCGACGTTGGGGTGGAAGCAGGGGGTGTCCAACCGCACCTGGGGCGGCTTGTAGGGGTACTCGGCGGTGAAGGCCAGCGCGAGGCGGTACGAGGTGCCCTCGTAGGGCGTCCCCGCGGAGCCCGCGATGGTGCCCACCCAGTGGAGCATGCTGTCCCCCTCCGGGTCCAGGAACGCCGACACGCCCGGGTCGCCGCCCATCATCAGCGCCATCAGCTCCGACTGCAGCCGCCGCACCACCGACTGGCCCTACAAGCCCTTCCCGGCCCCCGCCGACGATGCCGACGGCTTCGGCACGGATGCGGATGCCGCGGGGACGTTCCCGGTCTGCGCCTCCTGGTTCTCTCCCCGGGCTATGACCACACAAAGTTGCTGTTGTATACTTGTATGACATCATTTAACGATGAATTTAGCTATAGCATCTAAGCAACATATTACTAATTTGTGTTGCTTACATGGTCAGCAACAATTCTATTAATTTCTAACATCACGTCTGGATATGTATTTAGCTTGGAATTAGAGAATTGGAATTATACGTCTTCAGTACCACGTGTTTGAATGCTTTGGAATTGGATCTTGAAATTTGGCCCATGATTCTATAAGCTATTCTTCCAACACGAAGCAACACCCCCCAATACTGACATGTGGAGCTCGGCATTGGCTGGAATCCACTGGGCAAAGCGGCGGAATAATCCCAAGGCTGGAAATCATTTCCTACCATGACAAGACACAAGTACTGATCGGTCACGACCAATGTCTACTACCATAATCCCTTCCAAGCATGTACATTGTGGCGGTCATAATTAAACTTCTCTATATATCAACTGTTCTATGGCTGCAATTTTGTCATACTCGGAGCAAGTAGGCAGCAGACACACAAGCAAATTCATGTTTGATTAAATCATTCTTTTATTTTTTTTAATATTTTCTCTTCTTGCTTGACAATCAATTGCTTCTTTTTTTGCTTGAATTTTTCCCTTTTTGCTTCACAATATCTTTCCAAGGTGAAGCATCCACTCTTCCACATTTCATCATTTCGTTTATGTCCTTTTGTATGAATCAATTCACTGTTCCATCTTTTCTTATGAATCTTGCTTCATGTTGTTAGTGCTAGCTTCCATGTTGGTTCATCCTCGATGCATATGTGGATTATTGTGTTTGCTCATATGACTTGTGTGAAACTAACAAATTTCAACCATTGTTTTCCTTTTGTATGGCTAATTCCATATATATGTCCTTCCTGACATTGTATAGCTCTATAAATTCTATTTTAAGGTTCCTCGATGCATGTGTGGATTATTGTGTTTGCTCATACCACTTGTGTGAGACTAACAAATTTCAACCATTGTTTTCCTTCTGTATAGTTAGTTGCATATGTCCTTCCTGACATTGTATACTTCTATAAATTCTATTTTAATGTTTATTTAGCAAAACCATTTTCTACTACTGAAAATGTTTGAACGATCAAATTGAGCAATTCCTATTAAGATGGATGGCTATGTAGCCATGGAGGCGGAGAATGGTGTAATGTAGCTCCAGAATCCTTGATGTTGAACACACTATTTCCACTAGAGTCTAGAGAGATCGAGGAGGAGCTCATCTACCGGCACGGGCAATCGATGTAGGCTCGACAGTAGGTAGAGCTCGGCAACACAAAAGTGAGGGTGGATCTCAGGCATTATGGAGTTTGTCGCAAGATTAGCGGGGTGGAGCAGCCACCGGCGCAAAGGGCACTCCTTGCACCAATCTGAGGTGAGCTGTTGAACGCAAGGCAGTGATCTGCAACCACTGATGTGGGGAGGATGTGGGGGCGAGATGACGGACTACATGGGTGAATAGTCATTTCTAAAATTAATCGCGTCGGCTAACCGAAACAAATACGGAATTAAAACTATCGGTCTAACCAAGACTACAGCCCTCTATCTAAGTTCTCAAGCACCTTATAAAAGATCCTAATTAGGTAACAAAGGTGTCGAGCTAGGTAGAGCTCACCTAACCAATTCTAGGAGTAAGGTCACACAAACCTATGTCACTAGTACTTCAAGCACCGGGAAGCTGCTACACATGCTAGTAGCAAAAGCACAAAGCTTCTAAGCTCGCTAGCAATGCTCAATAACAAGACAACTAATGTCAAATTAGAGAGCGCAAATTACTTAGCTACACAAACTAAGCAATGTGACTAACAAGGTTATTCAAACCAAATTAGTCACACAAGGGAGCTACTTCTATGCTACACAAGCAAAAAGGTAACTAGCAAGCTACACAAGCCAACTAATTATAAAAGCAACTACACAAGCACAATGTATGTAAAAGTAAATACAAGCTTGTGTAACGGGGATGCAAATCAACGGGAAGACAAGGTTGACACTTGGTTGCCACCAAGCTACGTCCCCGTTGTGTCGACCGCTCACTTGGTGGTTCGGTGGCTAAGAGGTGTTGCACGAATCTCGTCTACACGTTGGACACCGCAAGAACCTCACAAGCCAAGTGAGGGTAGCTCAATGACACACTCGACTGGAGTTGTTCTTCGCGATCCTTGCGGGGTGAGCACAACCCCCCTCACAAATCCACCTCTGGAGCACCGCACAATCTTCTCGCGTGCTTCAACGGAGTCATAAGCCACCAAGCCGTCTAGGAGGTGGCAACCTCCAAGAGTAACAAGCACCACCGATTTGCAACACGATCACCTAGTGCCACTCGATGCAATCTCACGATGCAGTCGTACTAAAATCACTCACTCACTCGATCGGATGATCACTATCAAGCACAAGTGAGTTAGATGGCTCCCAAGCATGCATGGACACTTAGTCCCAAGGGTGCTCAACCAGCCAAATGTCCGAGCTCCACCTCTATTTATAGCCCTCAAGCCAAATAGAGCCGTTGGAGCAAAGATCCATTTTCTACAAGGGCACCGAACACGACGGTGGTGGCACCGCCCTAGGGGTGGCGGTGCCCCTTCAACGGTCACATAATGCTAGGTTGACTGGTCATGGGCACCGGACAGGGGTGGCGGTGGCACCGCCCTAGGAGTGGCGGTGACCACTAGACAAGCCCACAAAACACTCACTCTCTGGAAATTTAGGGCGATCCACCGCCGTCACCATGGCGGTGACCAGCTCTGCTCCCTCGCTCTCTGTCGAAAAGAGGCGGTGGCATCAGACCGCACCTGGCGGTGCACTACCCTCATCATGGCGTTGTGCACCGCCACTTCCGGTGACCACCCCGGCTCCTGCTGTGCTCGACCAAGTCCATGTGGGCACCGCCCTAGGGGTGGCGGTGTCACCGGACAAGGCACGACGGTGCCAGCCCCAACACAGCTGCTCTCGGCCTCGGCTATCTAGTCACCGCCGGTGCCCCAGGGTAGCAGCCCGAGCCCAGTTTCGCCTCCTCTTCTTTACCAACTTCTTTCACCTTTGTAAATATGCTAACACCACTAAGTGATCACCACCTTGTGCACATGTGTTAGCTTTTCACAAACATTCTTTCAAAGGATTAATCACTCAATTTACCACGCCACTCGATCTTAACACGTATGCAAAGTTAGATCGCTCAAGTGACACTAGATGACCGATATACAAACAAGTTTGCTCCTCTTAATAGTATGTCCATCTATTCTAAACCCAGTCATACACTTCTCTACACAACCTTTGACCAGTGAAATAAAATGCCCTACAAATATACATTTGCCTTGCGCATTCTATTCCATCTCCTCCATCGTTGATGCAACACATGCACCAACCAATCACCAAATGATATGATCCACTTCATATCATCACGTGACCTTGTTGGTTCATCGATCTTGACCTCACTTGCTTTTCACCGTTGCCTTCGTCCATCGACGTCAAGTCTTGCTCAAGCTTCACCGTCACGCGGTCCATCGCTCCAAAGCCTCTAACTTGCCCTTCACGTTTGCAACCGATCCATTGAGCCAAGTCATGTCTCGATCTTCCCCACCTTGATCACATGACTCAATATCATGTCTCATGTGCAATGAGCTCCTTCATCATCACATGTGTGAGCTTTGCAGCATCTTCGAGCCATCTTCACCGTCATGACATTTATTGTTCACACACATGTACCTATGGACTAATCACTTGTGTATCTCACATAAACACAATTAGTCAACCTAATGTTATCACTCAATTACCAAAACCAAACAAGAACCTTTTAGAGGACTAGGCGTAGCAGAGGACTATATGGCAGTGAGGCAAGGTAGAGCCATGACTGTGGGCTTGAGTGACACAAAGCAGGATGGCGGAGGAAGTCACGCCTACGAGCGTGAGACGAGTGGTGGCAAAGCAGTCCGCCAACGTGAGACGAGCGGAATCGGCCGTGGGCGGTTGAAGCAATGGAATAGGGGAAGAGAGAAGAGCGGTTGATTAAAAAATATTAACATACATACCTATAGTAATTTTGTTTTTTTGTTATAGCTATCTTGTTAGATAAGTTATCTATACTATTCACTATACCCTATGTGGCTACTTTTGTAAAGAGCGAGCTATCTATATTGTTGTGGATGCCCTAATAGCTCTATGGTTCTTTGTTTAGACATTTGATTCTTGAAACAAAGAACCATAGACTTCTCAGAAACTCAATTTTGACTACACATGGGGAATACAATACTATTTTAAGCCACACTGAGAGACATAAGCTCTCACTTTACAATGGCTTATGTTGCTAGTGTGACTCAAAATAGCATGCTACATGAATGTATTCCCACCCTCCCGTTAGATTCATATACTCCTTTTTGCTCCGTTTTTGTTCTAACGAGTTGCATGCAACACCACGCGTCACTGCTAAGTCACTGTTCTGCTGATCACGACTATTTTTTTTCTTATCTTGGCCAATTATTTATTTGGTAGCGGACTCATGAAAATTCAAATGAGAGGTTGATGAGATTGTGGGAATTTTAGAGGCTGTTCATATAGCACTCGAGCGTTTTGGGCTCTCCCAACATTCGATTTTTTTCATAGCTTCTTCCTCCTCCTGACGTGCCGCCATCGTCGACCGCTACATGGTAGGGTCTTGTTGAAGATCCGCGGCCGTGGAACTCCAGCGAGACCCTACCGCCCAAGGCGACCTCCATCTTCCCCTCCCCCTCCCACCGCCGCTATGGCCATGGACGCCCCGCCCCGATCGGGCACGACCCCCTCGTACGTCGTCGGAGCCTTAACCGCTGCCCTTCCGCCATCCCCACCGCTTGGCCGACCGGCCTCCCTCGAGCCATTTCTAAGTCCGCCGGAGTTGGAGAAGAAGAAAAGAAAAATCGAGTGTTCCAACACTCGAGTGTTGGATAGCATTCCTCGAAATTTGACAAGTGGCACGACCGGTGCAATTAGATGTAGGCGCAAGGAAGAGGAGGCGAGCACGCGACACCAATAGTGAGAACACATTTTGTGCGGCGTTAATTAGCATGAATGGTTTACAACTTACTTTATCTAACAATAAGAAGAAAAAACATTTTGAAGAGCATCAATATGACTTTGCTAATTGTTATATATATATGGCTAATACCATGGACCAGTTATTATCTAAAATTTAGAAATTTGGATATCTAAATTGTTATCATTTTATTTTGTTTATCCGTAGCAACACGGCAAGTATCGCCGTCGACTCCAGCCGCCGGAAACCAGGTCAGGGTCAGCCGTCGATTGTAGAAGTTTCCAGAAGTTTGCAGACACACGCGCTCCCCAAGACCCCAAAGCCCAAATACTCGCTGATCCTTCCCCTCACAAGTTGCAGTCTAGTCTCTCCGTTCGCCCAAGTCCTCTCTTCGTCGAGACGAGTCGCGTTCCTGTCCGCCGCCCCGCCGCCCATCTCCCAATCCGGACTCAGATCGACCCCTCCTCCTCTCGGTGAGTACCGTAGCTTGCTCGGGCGGGTGGTTGTCGCAGACTTTTTGGAGTTCCAGGGGCGGTTCCTCACTGCGTCCCTGGGCTGGGCGGTCGAATCCAAATCTCGCCTCCTCTCCATTGGGTTCCTTCCGTTGGGTTAGGTTTTGCGTTCTCTGCCGCGGGGCACCCTGATAATCTTCTCGAATCCACTCGTCCGTGTTGCGATCAGGTTGAGGTTGAAGGGGAAGGAACTAGAAGCCTACTGAAAGGTACGAGAGCTTGTCCATAGACGCATAAGCATTTGGGTTGTCTGTAGGGAGGTCTGTGGCGCCTGATCCGCGTATTCATTGTCTTCCTCCTGTGCAGGATGGCTGACGACGCTTCTCACGGGGCCAGCAGCTCGACTGTGAAACCTGCTGATGATCCAGAGTCTACCATCGAGATCAACATCAAGACCCTGGATTCACAAGTCCACAAACTTCGCGTGGAGAAGAATGTGAGCATTCTCCTGCCTCCTTCACATTTCTTGTGTGTGTCTATCTGCTTATTTGTTGCTGAACTCTGTGTGGAGTGCTAGAAACTCTATCCACGACTCTGTTGATTTGTGATCCTTTTAGTTAGCATTAGCCATTAGGTGTGGAAATGGTAATATGTGCGTTATGCAATGCTTCTGAAGAGCTAAGTGCTAACCGCCTCATTTGTAGGCACCTGTTTCCGTTTTAAAAGAGAAGGTTGTTGAAGCGACTGGGGTTCCATTGGATCAGCAGCGCTTGATATTTAGAGGAAGAGTCTTGAAGGATGATCACCTCCTATCAGAATACCGTATCCTTTCTGTTTCTGCATCTTGTGTATGAACTGTATACTCGATCCATCTCCATGTATGTTTCACGTATCCTTTTGGTGAGTCATACTGTGTAATAATACTCCCTCGGGCCAAGTTTGAGAGGCGCATGAGGTCTGAAAAAGTTTCCAAAATTTTCGGACGCCTGAGCTGTTGGACGCAGTTTTCTCTAGGGGCCGACACGCTCTTCTTGTCGTTTCTTGCGCAGAGTAATAAATGCATCCGATACTTGGCCTCCTTCCCAACTGTGCTTGCTCTCATTTCTCACGGTTAGGACGTGTGGCAAGCAGCATGCAGATGTGAAACCGAAAGATTTTTGCTGCTGAGAGTAAACGGATTAAGGGGAGTTATTAAGGATCCCTTTGGTCTCTGTGAAAATTACTTATGCCTGTGAAACTTGGATGGAGGGAGTATTTGATTGCCTATTTCCTTGTTACCTTCTTTTGCTCCTATTTGCTTAATTATGTTCCGTGTTCAGTTAGTGATGGCATAATTTGTTTTTCTGCGCTGTAGAGACTAAGGTTATGGCAATTTGATGAATCAGAAGAATTTCTTTTAAGTTGGTCCATATTTGGTTTTAATGCCTTTCTAAGTGGATTTTCAGTTAATGTTACAATGTCACATGCAACCCTATACATTCTGGGGTCTGTGCTAGATTAATGGTTTCCGTCAGTAGGTGGCTGGATATGCCATTTCGCAAAGGAACTTACCTTCACATTAATTTCTATTCAAAATTTTCATTTTTGTATTTTTTTTTAAAATTTTCCCACTTGTATGATTTTAAAATGCTTTGTTGTGTCATTTACCTTCCCAATGCGTTTGTTTCTCTCCATCCAAATTCTGTCACCTGTATCCTTAACAACCACAAGATTTGGAGGATGGATATACATTGCATCTAGTCGCTCGGCGTGCAGCAGAGGGCCAGAATTCTTCTGGGGCTTCTGAAGGAAATACACATGCTAATGGTAAGTCATACTGTCGTTTTTGTGACAGCTGGCTACATGATCTATCCTGAACCACCAAGTGTATCTGTATATGCTTCCATGATTTGTTGCCTACTTGCTGCCTTATTCCGCATAGCTATCGTCAGAAAATTAAGTAGACTTTGTTCTTTCAGCCTAAGGGCTGCGAAAATTTGCTAGTTATGTTAAGTAGTGTTAAAATAGTGAGTGCCTAGGTTGGTGCTAAATCTAATTGATCCTAGCCAGTGCTTAGGTTATTAGTTATTACTCGAAGACATGGGCCTGAAAAAAGATTTTATACTTTTCTTTTCTGTGCAGTAAACGTTACTGGAAATGGAGGATTGTTGGATGATATTTCCAGGGTATGCTTCTCTCATTGTTGATTCTTTCTCCATGAAGTTATCTGATTGCATGGCTCTTGGCTATTTTGACATCTTTATACCTTTTTTTTTAAAAAAAATTTGTTAATAATCTTTGAAGAAACTACATATGTGACATGTTAAGGGGTTTGTGCTTTGTTCCAGACTTCTAACGTTTTGTATGTTGTTGAAATAAATACCAATTAATTGACTGGCCATATGGTACATGCCATATAATTCTTCTACTATTTGCAGAGTGTTCGGGATCTTCTGGGTTCCTTAGGTGTTGCAATGTCTGGTGGTGTCACTAACACGGCATTTTCGGTAACGTGGCAGTTCTTCTCAAGATCTAGAGGGGGTACCTTAGACCTAAGAATTAATTGTTTTATGGATGCTTTATCAGGTTCCTTTGACTACCGCGCCAGAAGGACCCAATAATGTGCCCGGAAGAGCTCAGCCAATGAACCCAGCGCAACCAGGATTCTCAGTTCTAAATCATCAAATACAAGTAACACAACTTCAGCCGCCAGGAGCCATTCCTCGCAACATGGTAGATATTTTGTGCTTTTTTGCTTTTCCTCCTGTATTTCAGTTTGTACAGCATCATCTTAACTTTAACCAATGATAACAGATTATTCCAGATTCTTTGACAACTCTGTCGGAGTACATGGATCGCATTGACCGAGTATTACAGAATAATGGTACCATTTTTTGTCTTATAGTTGGTTCATCCATTGCTTGCAACCAAAGATTTTTATATTCATTTTATGCTATAAATGAAGGTGCTCCACCATCCAGGGATTCACAAAGCCAGCAACAACTGACAGTGGATGATGCTAATGTCAGCCCGAGATATCCAAGTCCTGATGTTTTGGCTTCAGTTATTGAGAGAGCCCAACAACTTCTTGGCAGCAGTGCAGCTTCTGCTCTTTCGGTATGTTACTTATCTTCTGTGGTTATGGTCTGTACCAGTTACTCTTTGAGAGTGATATCTTGTTCATCTAAAATGTTTGCCTCCCTGGTTTTGTTCTGCTAAATTTCCACTTCTGTTCTGGTGGTCACTGTAAACACATTTAGTATTATGGGTTGTCATATTTTGTGCAATTCTGTGAGAATCTAGATAAGATAAACTGATGGACTAGTGAATTCTTGACCACCCTTAAACAGCAACCCTGGTGTATAGTCAGGGCATAAACTATGTTCTGGCTTCAAGGTGAAATTATCAATCCGCAAGCAACTTTTATAATATATAACGTCAGCTCACTGTTTATTGTTTATAATGCCTGCATGATTTCCTGAGTAGGCCTAAACCTTTTTTACATGTTGTGGCTTTTTCCCTTCTTGGATGCAAAGTTGCTGTTGAGCTGCATGGTTCAGTTTTTAAATTTTAACACACTTTCAATACTCTGGATTTATGAACCAATAGATGCAAAGTTTTCTTTGGATGTCTTCAAGTTGTTATTGAGGAACTCCTGAATTTATGGATGCAGAATTTTCATTGAAAACATCTGTGACTTTTATGTACCTAATAATTTTCTGTTTCAGCACATTGCACAACGTATTCGGCAAGATGGTGGGACTGCGGATGCATCTCTTCGCCGTGAGATCCAAACTGAATCTGTTCAGCTAGGAATTTCGATGCAACATTTGGGTGCTATGTTTTTTGAGCTTGGTCGGACGATGATGATGCTCCGCACAGGGCTATCTCCTGTATGCATAATTTGTTTTTCCTTCATGTTATGTAACTAACTTTGTACATGTCACAATATTGAAATATTTTAATTCTGCAGTCTGAGGCTTTTGTAAACTCTGGGCCTGCTGTTTATATAAACTCCACAGGACCAAACCCAATCATGGTTCAGGTGATAGTTGCTACACCTTTTTCATGCTAGTTTTGATGGTCAAGAGTGTTATAATCTCATCAACACATTTTCTCTGTGCAGCCATCTTATCAAAACACCCCTCCTTTTGGTGTATCTAATATACCAGTTATGGGTGGAATTTCTGGTGCTTTTGGTATTGTTGATCCTTCTCGATCATCTGGTTTCGGTGATCCTTTTCGACGTATGAATGTCCCAAGTAGCGGTAAGGTCACATTTCAATGCCTTTCAACTACTGGTTCCCTCTTGTTAGGGTCTTGAACTGGAGGTCCTCTGAACAAATTGTCTCTGTATTGGGTCGTTAGATAGGCATAAATTGTTTATAAAATCCAATTGCTTCTTTACAGCATTGTTAAACTGCTTTTATTTCTTAATTATACTAAGTTATTATAATTTGTTTGAGATGCCAGATGTTTACATCTCCTATTTGCTATTCTAATATCATGAATTGGATACCTCATAAACCTTATGTGACTGTGCTGGCATGATTGGACTAAAGTGTATACAATACTTATATTTGAAGTTCAAATTAGTGTTAGGTGCAGTATCTTTCAGATTTGACATGTGTCATCAATGTACTTGCTAGATTAAATACTCTGTTCTTGCTAGATTAAATACTCTGTTCTCGAGTATCTTCTGGAATATCCTGGAGTTCATTTGCACATGGGAATTTATATTATTTTGCTAACTAGATCTTTGATTCTTCCACTCATTTTATAGAAATGCCACATTTGAACCCCGCCTGTTTAAAATAGATACAAACAAGCTACCTACATGTCAGTCAGGTCTGAAAAAGCTACATATATATATATATATATATATCAACTTGCTTGTTACATATAACAGTGAATATCAGTTTCATTCATCTTTGGGTCTCTAGGAACGAGATCCCTTCTTTCCTTTTTCTTTGTATCAACGAAACCTTTGGATTCAATTGGATGGGGGAATCCAATTGACAGCCTCGACTCGTATCCTAGCTCGTCTGAGAGCTAGCTTCGCTTCAACCAATTCTTTCGTACCCTCAGCTTTACTCAAGTTAGCTTCGGCTATTTCAAGTGCCTGTTGAGCTTCTTCTGGATCAATGTCAGTACCCAGTTCTGCATCATTTCCTAAAATGATGATCTCATTATTAACTATTCTCGCAAAACCACTCCACAGAACCGCCGTTAACCATTGGTCGTTGAGGAGGCGTATTCTCAAAGGACCCATATCTACAGCTGTGTTAATGGGGGCGTGGTTTGGCTTCCCCTAAGTAATATTTCTTCTCTTTCCCTAACTTAGGTGCATCTGCAACAAGTGGTTCAGCTGCTGGTACTACCACAACTTCTGAAGGAGCTATCAACGGGAACCGCCAAGATGCGGCAAGAACTCAAGGAGGTAACACACCGGGTCACCCGGCTGCAACACGTGGATTGCCAACCAGAACAGTTGTTGCTGCTGTTCCAGCACGGTCCTCAGCCGAGGCTCCAAACCATGTCTTTAGTGTTATTCTGCCTGTTCAAGTGAGGGGCCAGGTTGCAGTGCCTAATCAGTCCTCTCAAGGTTCTCAAACAGCAGTGGGCAATGGAGCTCAAGGAAATTCAACATCTGCTGTTCCACAAGCTTCTGTTGGTGGTGTTTCTGGTGTTCCTCCTATAGTGGCACAGGTAGCCAATGCATTGGCCGCGAATGCGCCAAGCCAGGTTTCTTTATCTACACAAACTGCAGCAGATCAGGGATTTCACCCGACCATAGACAGCAGAGCTGATGTTCTGAGTTCTTCAACACCAGCCACTACACCACAGAATGATCCCTCAGGTTAGAATCATGGACAAACTTCACTTAAAAAAGTGCAACATCATGTGACTGAACTGGGTCTTTCGAATAGGGTGTTACGAGTTTTTTTGTAGACCTCTTAATGATATTCACCATTCCTGTTGTTAGGTATTTGTGGTTCCAGTTTGCCACCTCAAGACAGGAATACTTTAAATGTTCCCAGTCTTGACAGTATACAACAGCATCCACAATTGGGAGATACTTGTGCAGATACAGCCGACTTACCAGGAGACGCCACAGCCACCAATACTCATGATGTTCCTTCGAACGCATCAGTAGAAAATTCTGCGCTGAAGAACAAATCCTCAGATGAAGTAGGTTCACAGCCCACTGAGCCTTCTGCAAGTGGCAGTGCTGAACCATTAGGTCTTGGCGGAGGTCTGATTCCAAAGGTATTAATTAGTGACTTTTAAGTGTTTATTAGTCTATCAGGATTCCGTTGTTTGGTCTTCATTTTTGTGTTTATTCTATTTGCCAAGTCACATATTTGGAGTTTGTTTTATTTTACTATTGTTCGATTCTATCAGTAAGTTACATGTTTGGAGTTTGTTCTATGTTTCTATTGTTTAATTGCTTCTTTTAACAACACTTGTAGAAACGGAGCAGAGCAGTAAAGCCATCTGGGAGCACAACTGATCCTGGTAGGGATTCATCGTCAGTCAGCCAAAACCAAGATCCTATTTCAGTGGCCCAGCAGTTTCTGGAAGGTTTTGCTTCCCGAAATACTAATGCTAGCAGAAGCAATGCCCCCGCCTCTGGTCCTCCATCCTCTGTGCCACAGCCTACTGAAGTTCCTCCGAGAAGACAGGGTGGTGGACAACCTGATATTGGCAGCATGATATCTGGTATGCTCAACAACCCAGTTTTCAGCAACATATTGTCGAATGTTGCAACACAAGCAGGGGGCTCAAGTGCTGATTTGAGGAGCGTGATGGAAGGATTACAGAGCCCTGCAATTGTAGATACGATAAGCAGTATTGTGCAGAATGTGGATGAACAAGACCTTGGGGCCATGCTTGGTTCAGGCAGGGGGCAAGGCGGCATGGATTTGTCAAGAATGTTGCAGCAAATGGTGCCTGTTGTATCCCAGGCTCTTGGTGGAGCAGGGGGGCGTTCTGCTGGCGCAAATAGTAGACAATCTAGGTCATGGCCTCAGCGCATTGACAGTGGAGAAGGAAATGTACCAGCTAGCAGTTCTCAGGTAAGCTATCTCTTGTATTTCTCAGGTAAGCTATCTCTTGTATTTGCATTTGTAATGTATATGCTGCCTGTGCTGTGTGTTTGGTTTAGAGAGCAAATACTGTATGAATGGTTTACATTATTCCGCCATATTGATGTTCATTGTTCTTCTCAGTTATGCAAACCCTCTTTGGTCAGTATTACTTTCCATGGATGCTTTTGCATAATTGGATGTTAAGAGCCTAGAAAGGCTAATATGACACTAGGGCAAGATTATTGTATGCTTCTGTAACTCTTCCTGTATGAATTTTAGTTAGGCCTATCAAGTCTTGTAGGTATCTCACAGTTTTTTGTATTCCATGGCCAGATTGATCTCGGCCTAGCTCGTCAAAGCATTGAACAACATGAATCTCCAGAGAATATCTTCAGTTCTGTCCTTGAAACTGCTGCTCAGGCCTATGGCGAAGATGACAGCGTTCAAGGAATGATCGAAGAGCTTTCCAGTGATCAAGAGCTTACCGATGTATGCTTTCCACACCGTTTCAGTTGCACAATCAATGTATAATAACCCTGTCTGGTTTCTGATGTTAGGGTTGCTAATGCTAAACTTGCTGCTTTTGTTAGGAATACTTGAAATTTTTGGTGGACCAAGTTCGGCAGAGGGTACAGTCAGAGTCACAGTCCGGGAGCCAGCCTTGAAGAATTGGGCGGCAGGGTCGTGTAGCCAGCCATTCGCTGCAATCTGCAATATTTATCGCTAACTTGGAAAAGACAGAACCAAGACTTGTTTGGGCGTTTTCATGATTATTAGGTTCCCGCTGTACATGTGGCGTTGTAATTTTCAGAGATGTTGTATTTGCGGCAGCATATTCCGTACTCTGGTTAAAACTGTTTAGACAATTTTTCTAGTGGTACATACAGCGAGTTTTAAAGATGCAGTGTACTGTTAAAACTGTTTTTGACAATTTTGCTAGTGGTACATAGAGCGAGTTTTAAAGGTGCTGTTGGTCTGAATTTTGTGGATATAATTGTTAATGTGGTGTCTGTGTATAGTTGGCCATTTGGCCCGGGCACTACGGGCTGGCCCAAGCACGACACTAATTAGCACGGCCCAGGAACAGCCTGGCCCGACAGCATTCGTGCCAGTGCCTGGCACAGTCTGGCCTTAGTGCCATGCCTAGGCCGCCATTCTGGCCCGTAGTGTCGGCCTAGGCACGACACGCTATATGGGCCGGCCCGGTAGCGGCATGGCTCGGCACCGTTGGATCGCAGGCCTCGCTCCTATCGGACCGTTGGATCCGGCCGTTAGAATAGGGGGTATAAAACCGTCCGTCCCGCCGGCAGGCCGCGTCTTGATCCGTTGCCCTAATTCATTTGCTCTCACTCTCTGTCTCTCTCGTCTCACTCTCGGCTCTCCCCCGCAGCGCCGTCTCGCCCGCTCCTCTCTCGCCTCGCTCTCCTCTCTCGGCGAGTCGGCGTCGCCGCGTCGGTGACTCGCTCTCCTCTCTTGCCCCCGACTTCCTCTCTTTTCTTGCTCTCCGGTGGCCTCTGGAGCCACCGCTAGCCGACACTGGCACAATCCCTAACCCTAACCCTTGCTTAATCCCTAACCCTAACCCTTGATCTCACTTTGTCCTCGCCGGATCCGTCGTCGACCTCGCTGGATCCGTCGGTTTCCTCGTTGGATCCGTCGGATCTCCGGCCTCGCTCCCATCGGACCGTTGGATCCGGCCGTTGGAATAGGGGGTATAAAACCCGTCTCGGCGGGCCGGCTGCATCTCGCTCCGTCGCCCTAATTCGTTTGCTCAAACCCTAACCTTAACCCTTGATCTCACTTCGTCCTCGCCGGATCCGTCGGTTTCCTCGCCGGATCCGTCCCTCGTCGTCTGTGCTCGTCGGATCCGTGCCTCGTCGACCTCGCCGGTGACTCTGGTGCTCCGACTTTGAAGGTAAATCACCGTCGACCTAACCCTTGCTCAATCCCTAACCCTAACCTTCAATCTCTACTAACCCTCTGTTTTGTCTGAAGTCGTTGAGGGACCGGGGCGCCGACGAGTGGCGATGGCTGGATCCGACGACGAGACGCTTGAGGTCGGTTCCAACTAAGAGAGGCGGTTGTGCGGGTTGGCCGGAGATGATGACGAGGATGACCTGCGCGAGGACGCTGCGGAGCTGTTTGGCCGTAACGTTCAAGCTCCCATCGTCCTCGAGCCCTGCGATGATCAAGCAGTGGACGGGGAAGAGAATAATGGCAAGCGGTCACGTCCCTCTACCTCGGCAGTGTGGCTTGATTTCAAGAAACTCTTCAAAATAGAGAATGGTAAGAAGGTCAGGTATGGAGCTAAGTGCATCCATTGCTCTAAGGAATACTCTAGGCACTCTAGTGGTGGCACTGGTCACCTCACCCGGCATAGGGATAAATACCCTAGGAGGCGTGAAAAAACTCGCATATCCCAGTCACAGATCTCTTTTAATCCTGATGGTAGTATGCGCAATTGGGAGTACTGTCCTATTGTTGCTCGTACTCAACTGGTTCGATTGCTTGCTAGGCTTGATGTTCCTATCTCTTTCGGAGAATCATATGCATTTGAAGAATACATTAGAACTGCTCATAATTCTAAATTTGTTTCAATCTCTAGGTAAACCACCACTAGAGATATGCTTAAATACTTCACTGATTGGAAGGCTAAGCTTGTTGAGACTGTTAGTTCTGCTAGTGTTAATTGTGTGTGTCTAACCTCTGATATTTGGTCTGATAATGCCAAAGAGGACTACCTTAGTGTTGTTGCTCACTACATAAACTCTGATTGGCAACTAGAGAAGAGAGTGCTTGGTCTTAGGCTTATTGATTGTTCCCACAATAGACAAAACATTGCTGATCTTGTTGCATCTGTGCTTGCTGATTATGGTTTGACTGGAAAAGTATTTGCTGTTACTTTGGACAATGCATCATCTAATGTATCAGCCATGCAAAAACTTAGACCTGTTCTTTCTAAATATCTTGGTATTGAAGTTGTGGTCAATGCATAATCTAATGATAGTGATGATTTAGACAATGCAATTAATTGTATGTTCTTGAATCAGCGTTGTGCATGTCACATTATCAATCTAATTGTTAAGGAGGCCCTAACTGCTCTTAAGCCTTTGATTGAAAAATTTAGAATTACAATATCTTTCTTAAACTCATCTAACCAGAGAATTGCTGCATATAAAAGTTACTGCATTGCCACTGGTGTTAGGCCTAGAAAGTTTCAACTGGACATGGAAGTTAGGTGAAATTCTACATACCTAATGCTTAAACATTTGTTTCCACATAAGGTCTCATTCACTACTTTCATCCATGCTCAATATCCTAGGGCTGAAGGTGGTCAGTTGCTTTTAACTAATGACCATTGGGCTATGGTAGAAAAAATGCTTAAATTTCTTGAACTGTTTTATGATGCTACAATTGCATTGTCTGGTGTGTACCATCCTACATCTCCACTCATGATTCATTATCTTGTTAAGATTGCTATGCACCTAAAGAATTATGCTAATGATAATCACATCAGACCTGTGGTTCAACCTATAATAGACAAATATAATAAATACTGGAGGGACATACCTTTGCTTTATTCTTTTGTATTCATTTTGGACCCTAGAGCTAAAATGAAAAGTTTCATTATAAGTGCTTAGGAGGTTGGGTACCCTTACTAGTACAGATTATAATGCTTACCAGGTTGGCACTAGAGCTCGATTTACTGATGTCTACAATAAGTATGAGGAGAAATATGGAGGTGTTAAGTTGAGGAGGACTGCCCCTCCTAACCTATCTGGTAAAAAAGTTCTGCTTGGGATGAAATTTATGATGATGATGATAGTGATGTTGGTGGTGCTGGTGGTATACATACTGCAGCTGCTACTCTAATCATGGCTAGAGATACATCTGCAACTGCCCTGCTGCAGGCTGCAAGTTCTTCAGGTTCTAATGTTTCTGAACTTGTTTCTTACTTAGACTGTGATACTGTGAACCATTTAGATAATGATTTTAACATCTTGGACTGATGGCATCAGCACAAACTCATATATCCAGTGCTGTCAATCATGGCTAAAGATATTTTAACTGTTTCTATTTCAACCATATCTTCATAATCCACTTTTAGTATGACTGGCAGGATCATTGAGGAGCGGCGGAGGAATCTAAAGCCTGAAATGGTGGAGATGCTGACCTGCATCAAAGATTGGGAGGCTGCTGAAGCTCGGCTGCAACACATGGTGGAGGACAAGGAGCTTGAAGAAGCATTTGAAGAACTTTATCTTGATTAGTTATCATTTATGTAATGGGACTGTAATATTATGGACTATGGACTGGACTTTGATGAACTTTATAATTGGAGCTAGGCTGTACCCTTTTTTCCTGTTTAGGGTTTCTCACAAGGATAAGTTTTACCTAGACAGGTTCTTAATGAAGCAGCCATTGCACTAAAGCTCCCAATAAAGTATTTTTTTGTTCTCTTCCTGTGTTTGGGTGATTATGTGATCTATGCGTTACAGTGATAAGTTAATATCAATTCTCTGTGAACATGTAACTTTGAGTCTTTGATAAGTTCTCTGAACTTGTAACTTAAGATTGAGATGGTGAAGTTATTGTCCCTGATATTCTGATCAGTTTGAGGTGTTGGGCACTTATAGTGCTAGTGCCGGTACGGGTACTGCTGGGCCGCCGTGCTCAGTGGTACGGCACGGCACGGCTAAGACCTGATAGTACCGTGCCTGGGCCGGCACCTCGGCACGGCGGCACTAACATGCATGGTACGGCTAGTCTACCGTGTCGCGTAGTACTGTCTGACCGGGCTGTGCCTGTCCGTGCCCATGCTAGTGCCGTGCCGGGCGGCTCGTTTGGCCTAACTATATGTCTGTGGTTGTCGTAGCGACTCTCCAGTTGGGAGGTCCAGGCAAAGTTTGTTTCGCAGGTTTGCACTTTGCAACCCTTCCTCGCGTGCATTTTGCCGGAAATTTGGCGGCCTTCGGCGTGCGCCCGGCGGCCTGGAAGCCAGCGGTTGCCCCATGAATCCCTGCAGCCCAAGAGTCTGTCTACAGAATAATCTGGTGTTTCAAAGGCGACGGCCACTCAGAATGTTTTTAACCGTTGGACCAAGATCCAACGTGCTATCTCATTGTCTTTTACCTTTGGTCTCTTCTCTATCAGTTCCACAGTTTCGTTCATGGTCATGGTAGTTTGCTAATGTGCTATAGATTTTATTGTTGTGTGCTTTGAGTATATAGAACGACAACAGTGGATATTTGCTTCACCGATGGACGATCTACGACAAAGAACATTGGTATCTACGGTATGCATCATTGATCAGACTGAAGATAGAAATGTAGTGACAGGCGTAGAAATGGAATTTTTGACCTGTTCGTTTTGCTGAAAAGTCATGACTAAAAATATTGTTCACTGATTTATTATGAGAGAAAAATATTGTTCGTTCGTTGAAATAGTACCGGCTCATAAGACAAGCGAACATGGTCTTTGTTCGTGACCACAATATCAAATCAAGAAGATTCTTCTTTTACCTACGCAGAAGTACTCCCCCTTCCCAGAAAACATGATATCTTAGGATTCAAAAAATTTCCCCAAAAAAGCTAGGCTGGGCCCCTAAAAACTTGATATTTTAGCTCTTGAAAACTAGGTTGAGCATATATCTACTTGATATTATGATCTGCATTTCTCTATGCATTCCTTTTAATCGCGAGGTACTTAGACGAACTGACGAACGACGACGGGAAGTCTCGGACGTCCCGCCACTCGTGAGCATGTTTTCTGGTGCTGACCAGGGCACCAAACGTTCTGAGAGCGAGAGGCAGCCCCTCGCAGTTCTGGACGATGTCTCTGCCGATGGCCACCAGCTCCTTGCGCTCCTCCACTCCACTGCCAAACGCGTGCTTCGAGAACAGCTTCCACGAGTCCTCCTCGCTCACCCCCGCCAGCTCGTGCGGCGGGAGCGTGCCCATGATCTCGCCCACTCGCGTGCTCCGGCTCGTGACGACGACGACGCTCCCCGGCGCGCCGAAGCCGCAGGAGCACAGCAGCGGCCTCAGGCTGTCCACCCACCGGCCCTCGTCCTCGTTCCACACGTCGTCCAGGACCAGCAGGAACCTCCTCCCGCCGATGGCTTTCTTGAGCCGGTGCACCAGCAGGTTCAGGCATTCGGGCATGCGCACCTTGCGTCCGCGGCCGCCTCGACGACGGACCTCAGGACGGCGTTGGTCCCGAACCGGCCGCTGCCGCCGTCCTCGCCGCAGTTGCCGACCCAGTCCCACATCGTCAGGTCGAAGTGCTCCTGCACCCTGGCGTCGTTGAACACCATCCTGGCGAGCGTGGTCTTGCCCACGCCGGCGCCGCCCATGACGGCCAGCACCTGCGCGTCCCGCTGGTCGCGCTGGCCCAGCAGCAGCTCCACCACCGCCTCCACGTCGCCGTCCCGGCCCACCACCCACCCGGGGGGGTCGTACATCAGGTCATCAGCGAGTTCGTCTGCCGGAACAAGGCCTCCGGCGGCTGCGCGGCGTCCAGCAGGCCGCTCTTGTACACCACCCGAACCACCGTCTGGACGCGCGTGAGCGCCCTCCGCACGTCCCTAGCCGCGGCGCGCCGGACTAGGGCCGGGTTCTGAAGGGTCAAGTACCTCAGCGCCCTGCGCGCGCGCGCCGCCGGCGTCTGGGCCTGATGGTCGTCCTCGGACTCGCGGCGGCGGCGCTCGAAGCCGTCGAGGACGCCCTCGGCAAACGCCGTGACTCTCCTGAAGTTGTCAATCCACGCCCTGACGGCGAGGCCCCGCGCGCCCTCCGCCCCGGCTTTCGCCTCGGCGCGGGATAGGAAGGCCCGCCCAGTCATCAGCTCGACCTCCAGGATGTTGCGGTCGAACTCCAGATCGTCGAAAAATGGCATGGTGGACGACGACGAAAGTAGCTTAATTATCGATCGTTTCACACTACTGGATTAAGACGATTTGCCGAGTGCCTAATGGACTCGGCAAAGACTACTTTGTCCTCGGCAAAGCCTTTTGTCGAGGGTAGTACTCGGTAAAGCGCCTCCGATAAAAAATCCGTCAGCAAAGAATTCTTTGCCGAGCACATTTTATCGGGCACTCGGCAAAGTCTTTGCCGAGTGCAATTTCGGCACTCGACAAAGAAAAGTCCCCGTCACGGCACCGGTTCTGTTAGCACATGCTTTGCCGAGTGTCATGTCAGAGGCGCTCGGCAAAGATTTTTTAATTTTTTTTTCAAAATTTCTTTGCCGAGTGCCCTACCGGGGAGGCACTCGGCAAAGATTTTTTTTAATAATTTCTTTGCCGAGAGCCCTGCCATGTCTGCGCTCGGCAAATATTTTTTATTTTTTTCGTAATTTCTTTGCCAAGTGTAGAATTCCCAGCTTTGCCGAGTGCCAAGGTCAGGGCACTCGACAAAGAGGCTAATTTTTTTTATTCTATATTCACAAACACAACATATAAGATATATATATAACATCTGTGACATCACAAACATAATATAGCGCATATATATCACATCCATCTCATCACAAAGCCAACACCACATATATATATCACATGTCGATCACACAATATCTCACATACACGACATCACAAGCATAATAGGTCCAATATCCATCGAAACAAGTCGATAGTTGATCACAGTGCATCACATTTCCATCAAGCGGTGAAAAAGAGATACAAACTACTGGTGGGGAGGAAACTGAGTGCTTGGTGAAGGAAAAAGTGTCGTCAGCTTGCTTATACCGAGATGGGTTATTCAACCCACCGACGGAGGTCTGCATAAAGGACAAGAGATTGCATATGTTAGAGTGGTCATCTAATGAAAGCACTAGTCGAAGCAATTTGGTTTCATACTCACAGACTAGCTATAATCGGGCGGCGACGGTGGAGCGAATCATGCACACGCCTACACCGCAGCATTTGCCCAAAGTTCTTCAGAACGTCGTAATCTTAATCGCCACCGCTTGGCACTTTTCCCGCTTCTTTCTGTTTTTCCCTTCGGCCTGCTTTCGGTCCTCGCCACCAGTCCCAGCAGCTCTGAGCCATCCTCTCGTTATCGGCCTACAACATTTGAATCGAATGTTTCAATGAATGCAAAGGTAACTAAGTTATTTAAAGATCAATGTACGAAGAGTTAAGCGGGACTAACCTAGAGTCGTCGACCCACTATTGTGAAGGGGACGGCCACATGCGTATGGTCGGCCTCCGCCGGGTCTGCATGCTCGGATCTGGGAGAGGAAGGGAATCTCGCTGGGCTCGAGGGTGCCATCGTCTATCCAGTACCGCCCATGCTTCTTGCCTTGTCCGAGCCTCATGACCATCATCCCATCGATGTCGTCGGTGCTCGGATCCCGCTCGCCCATGGACCGACCTTGCCTCGACGCTGCATTTAACCGATGCGGTGTGGGCGCCGGGTTCTTTGTAGGGACTCGGGCGGGTCATCCGGGGTGAAGGTGACAGCGGACGTCGCCTTACCCTTGCGGGCCAGACCATATGCCATGAAATTGGAGATGGACTGCCCACCATGTGACGCCGACTGTGAGAAAGACAACAAGATGATTAGAAGAAACATGCAGAATGGAGCGTAAGAATACTAAAAATTCACGTACCCATGCTTGCTTGTACGCCGAGGCTGCGGCTGCCTTGATGGTGTGTGGGGCCTGTTGCTGCCATACGCCGCTCCCGCCCCGCCTCGTGGTCCTAGATATAACCCTCCGTGAACCACCTGTCCACGATCATCTCCCAGCAGTCCCGATACGACTCGCACCACCATGGAATTGTCTACATGTCATAAAGAATTTGAGATGTAAGAAGACCAAATTAAAACTACTTAATCTCAAAACGAATCAATATTATTATTCTTCATTTACCTCAAGGTACTGTTCCCGGGTCAGCGTCCTCTGTCTTGCCTGTGTCTTGGTGATCTTCTCACCAAGGTGCTTGGCGTAGTACTTGACGATGCAAGTGAGGCGCTCCTCGTAGTGCATGTTGGTGATTCGTTTCCTGGCACTTTTCACCATCACCTTCTCCGCCCTGTCCTCCCCGTCCCTCTTCACATCTCAAAAAAGTCTCAGAGATGCACACAATGTATCAATTTATTATGTCAAAAAGTCAAATGAATGCGATGTATTGATCAAAGTTGTGCGAGCGAGACTTACCTGAACTCTCTCCTCACCCGCCTCCTGCTTATCTCCACATGCGTCGGGGCATCTTTGTAGTGGTCCCACGATTTGGCTGGCTCAATGTTCCCCTTGTGCGTGATAATGCCGGGTAAAAGTGCTCGCACACAAGACCCGTGATGTGGGTTGGGGTTGCGTGAGTCACCAAAGCGACACAACCAGCCAAAGGCTCGCACAAGTCATTAACAAACATTATTAGTTTCTCTAACAATTTTCAACAGGTTATATGAAGTAGCTGTGATAAAATCTAAAGTTACTTACCCGTCCCCCTGGGGGCGGATCACTGGGCGTAGGGGAAGAAGCGGAGGCCCAGGGAGTTTCGAGGGACCTCGCAAGTAGATCCTGGCCACAGCAGAGGAGTCTGAACCAGCTGTGCCTCCAGCCTCGCCGCCCTGCTGTGCCTCGTCTCCCTCGTCGTCCGTCTGTTGAACCAAGTCCTCCTCGTCCGAGGAGTCCGGGGTACGGCGCTCCTCCTCCGGCACGTCACATGGCCTGACTAGAGGAGGCCGGCCCCTCCTGCTGCCGCTGCCGCTACCGCTGCTCGCTCCCCTCTCCTCCTCCCCCCGTCCAATGACCCTCTTCAAGCATCCGGATCGCATCGCGTGCCCTCATGAACCTCAAGTTCACGTTCCTTGGCACACGACTGCCCGCCATCTTTGTTCAATCACCTACAATTAAAAAGAAACAAACAAGACATATTAGTACATGTGTTAAAAATAGATGCTAAATAAAAAAACAAAATACGATTACAAAATAACATAGTATTACATGTATTAGAAGTAATCATCATTATTGGGATTATCTGGATCATATGTCTCATCATCACTATCAAAATTGTCCAAATAAACAACACTATCCGAAGGTTCAATGTTGCCTTCATCGTCATCGTCTAAATGTAATCGCTCAAGCATTTCTATGTCCTTGGCATTTTGCACCTCATCTCCTTCCTCGTCATCGACCCTTTCATTGTCTACTTCCATTCCGATCGCCTCGGTTAAGTCTATCACCAACCTCCCTAGTAGCCCATCTTCTTGATAGAACTCTCCTTCATATGTGTTTGGGTTGAAGTTATAATCTTCATCGTTTGGGACAGCTAGTCTACCATGTGGCGATACCTGGTGCACAATAGCCCACCCCTTAAGAGCCTTGTTGCCTTGGCACGCGTATGGCAAATAATAAACTCCCGCACGGCCCGGTGAGCCACAATAAAACATCTTTTCCTTGATAGATTTAAAATCTTGTCGAATCTCGACTTGACCAATATTAGGGCTCCGTTTCGTTAGTCGAGGATTGAACCAGTAGCATTTGAACATGATGAGACGAAGAGGTTTCGAACCATAAAATGAAAGTTCATAGATTTCTTCGATTATGCCATGATACTCGAGGCCATCGATTGCTGGGAGTACAAACTCATTGCTTGTGATTTTTCGATGAAATTTGAGCTCGCTCGTAGCTTGCTGTGTGAAAGCGATATCCATTCACATCATAACTTGAATAAGCTTTCACCTTATTATCGAAGCCATTTGCAACCTGTCTCAACTCCTTACTCATAGTTGCATCGGTTTGGGCCTGCAAGCGTAAGAATGAAAGATTGCCAGACTAAGTACGCGAAACTCGAAATCTCGAACTATGTACGAGGTAAATTGGACAATACCTTTGTTTTGAACCAAGAAATGAAATCAGGCCTCCCTGCTCCTAGACCCTGTGAAAGAAGGGTATCGGTTTGCCGTGGGGTAGGACCCCTTGGTTGATGCCAGGATACACGAATAAATTCCCTGTGCAAATGAGAAAGAATCAGTTGGATGCAGAATAGTGATGGCGTATTGAAACAAGTTCGTTGAGAACTTACTCAATGAACGGCTTCACCTCGGTTAGGTTCTGCAACACATATAGCATGATACCACGCCACTCTTCATTATGCAACCTCTTATTGGTCGATCCACTTGCGCTTCCGAGTTGCCCTTGGAAAAGGCTGAGGTTGGATTCATTCTCGTCAGCATTATAGCGAGGGAGTGGATTATGCACACTAGGAAGGTTCGTTGTGTAGTATAGCTGTGTGAAGTTTGTCACCTCCTCCAGAATGGAAGCCTCTGCAATGGAAGCCTCAATTTTGGCTTTATTTCTACATTTTTTGCGAACGGCCTTCAGACATCTCTCGATTGGATAGCACCAACGGGCCTGCACGGCCCCCCCATATGTGCCTCATATGGGAGGTGCACAATCAAATGCTGCATCAACAAGAAGAAGTCGGGTGGAAAGATCTTCTCCAACTTACAAAGCAACTCAGGTGCCACTTTCTCCAAGTTTGCAACCACGGCCTGAGATAGCTCCTTGGCACAAAGCTGGCGGAAGAAATAGCTCAACTCTGCAAGCACTAGCCAAACATGCTCAGGAACATAGCCTCGTACCATCGCCGAAAGAAGCCGCTCAATCCATACGTGGTAGTCATGACTTTTCATCCCGTTGACTCGCATAGTGCCTAAGTTCACTCCCCTGCTCAGGTTCGCTGCATACCCATCAGGGAACATTAACGCCTTGATCCATCGTAGTACTTCCCTCCTTTGTTCGGGTTTCAAGACGAAATCGACCTTAGGCCTTTTCCAGTTCTTACCGTTTGCAGGAGGCCGCATCTCTTGCTGTGGTCTATCGCACAACGTCGCCAGGTCCACTCTAGCCTTAGGGTTGTCCTTAGACTTGTCAGTGTCCATGAGTGTTGC